AAGGCTTTAGGTAACCTGTGAGGATGTTTTCAGAGAGGTATACCTGTGGAGGAGTCACCCTGAATGTGGGCAGCAGCATCCTGTGAACTGGGGACTCTAAATACAAAAAGAAAAAGGAGAAAGAAGAAAGTGAGCTGAACACACCACCATCTTCTCTCTGCTTCCTGACTACAGATGTAATGTGACCAACTGCCCTGTGATCCTCACTTTATGCCTTCCTTGCCGTGATAGACTGCAGTCCTCTGAACTGTGACCCAAAGTCAACTTTCCCTTCCTTAAGTTGTTTTTGTCAGGTATTTGGTCTTATGTGTGACAAAAGTAACTAATACAGGGGTAATTAAAATGCCACAAATAAGCTAGGCATGGTAATGTATGACTATAATTCCAGCTCCTTGGGAGGGTGAGGCAGGGAGATCACAAGTTCAAGGGCTGCATGGGGTATAAAGTGAGTTCATGATCAACCTGGACAACTTAGTGACTCTGTCTCAAACTAAAAATAAGAAAAGGCTGGGGGGCACAACTGAGTAAAAGAGCAATTGTCCAGCACATGCAAAGCTCTGGGTCCAGTCCCTAGTAACAACAACAACAGCAACAAGAAAATATCCAGGTGAAGAATATATGTGTGTGTTCTTCACATAGATAAGAACAAAGAAGCCAGGCATGGTGGCACACACCTTTAATCCCAGCACTCGGTAGGTAGAGGCAGGTGGATCTCTGTGAATTCAAGGCTAGCCTGGTCTACTTAGCGAATTCCAGGTCAGCTGGGTCTACAGGGAGACCCTGTCTCAAAAAGACCAAAAAACAAACAAAGAAAAATCACACACCTTTTGGTATAGGACTTTCCTATCTATTTTATTTGGATTTTGTATTACAAAGATGAGATCGTACTATATATACAATGTTATATCAACTAGAGAAGGATTTTCTCATGTGACTAAAATTATTCATAATATTCATAAGTATTGTCAATGATTTAATAGAATTTAGACATAAGTAATAATATAGTTTATGGTGTCATTCCCCAGAGTTTAGCTGTATATCATCTGCTTTTTATAGCTATGCAAATTTCACAATAGCATGGGTTTGCTAACTCTAAAGCAAACAGAACCCATACAGCTCTGCCAGTATCCTCTGTAATTATACACTACCCATAGTACCTGAACATAAGCATCTCCATAGTCTCTAAAGAAGGCCCTTGAGAAAGTAAATGTCTAATTACTTTTTAAAATTGCTTCTGTCAGTTGGGAGGCAAGTCCCAGGCCAGCTGGAGCTACAGGGAGACCCTGTCTCAAAAAGGCCAAAAAAGAAAAAAAAAAACTTTGTTTTTGTCAAAATGCAAAAACAAAAATATAAAACTGAATTTTACCTGGGCACTTGCTTTTTTATCTTGAAATCCTGTCTCTTTCTTTACTTTGCTGCTAGGAAGCTCCATATTACACCCCCCACCCCCCAATTACTGAAGATTCCTTTTGGTAAAAGTGATACTAAATTCAAAGTTCTGGGATTACAGACACACAGTACCACACCCAGCTCTCTTTTTTTCATTTCCTATATTTAAAAGTGAAAACTGAGAACTGACCTAAAGAGAAAATCTTCTCCAAACAAGGAATATATTTTATTTTTAAAAATATAATTTAAAGATAACCTGGTATCTAAATGACACTCAAAAGAAAAATTGTAGAGTTTTCATACTACAGTACTAGCAACCAATGTTAAGACGTCATAGTTTTGTGAAATGTAGAAGTCTACACTTATTCATGGTTTTGTTTTCTGTAGTTTCAGTTACATGTAGTCAGCCACAGTTCAAAACAATTAAATGTAAAATTTCCATAAATGTGTAATTCATGTTTTTAATTCCTTGCTGTTCTGAGCAGTATCCCACCTGGACCTGAGTTGTCCCTCTGTCCAGCATATCCACATTGTGCAATGTGTGTATTCAGGCAACCCTAATCTTACCTGCTGTGCTGGATAGCTTTAGTGTCAACTTGACATACCTGGGTTGAGGGAGCCTCAATCAGGGAATTGCTTCTATTGGACTGGCCTGTGGCCAAGTCTGAAGGGCATCTTCTTGATGCGTGATGTGGGAGGGCCCAGCCCACTGTGGGTGGTGCCACCCCTGGGCAGGTGGGCCTGTGTTGCATAAGAAAGCAGACTGAGCAGGGGCCAAGGGAGCAAGCCAGTAAGCAGCGTTCCTCCATGGCCTGTTCTCCAGCTCCTGCCTCCAGGTTCCTGCCCTGAGTTCCTACCTTGGGCTCCCTGATGAACTGCGACCTGGGAGATGTAAGACAAATAAATCCTTTCCTCCCCAAGTTGGTACTGGTCAGAGTGATTTTGTCACAGAAATGAAGAAACAAACTAGGACACCTGCTATTGGGAATCCAAGCACAAGAGCAGTGATGTTGGCAATTTTATTACAGTACGTTGTTACCATTGTTTTATTTTATCAGTTATTGCTAATTTTTTTACTATGCTTAATTTATAAATTATATTTCATCATAGGTGTGTGTGTGTGTGTGTGTGTGTGTGTGTGTGTGCGCGCGTGTGTCCCTCAGAATACATATGGTTTGACAGTCTCCATGTTTTCAGGAATTCACTGGAGTCTTGGAACATATTCCCATAGATAAAAAAGGATTACTGTATTACAGAGCCTCTTCGGTACCTAACAGCAGCTCCCTTCACAGGGCCATTAGCAAAAAAGATCATGTTAGAGCAGGCCAGTAATCCTGCAACAGCACGTGAAGAGGAACATGAGGGGAGTTAGGGAGGCAGGAGATGAGATCATCGGCAGGGGCTAGATCACATAGGGCTTTGAAGTTACTGTCAAAATTTAGGTTTTTTACATCATTCTGATGAGAAGCTAGCAGAAGGTTTTAAAGGGAGTAAAAGTCCTGATATGTCTGGAAAAATTTTTACTGGTGTTAGGAGGAAGACTGCGAAGAAGCCAGGGCAGAAGAAGGAACTTAATAATCTCCTATGGTGCCTTCTCCCTCTCCAAACTAAGCTAAGAAGCACTGCCAGGTACAGTCCACAGGGTTTGCTTCATGCTTAAATGTGGGGTCTAAGCTAAAAGGAAGAGTCAAGAATGATTCCTAGAGCTGTGGACCTTGCTGTCCAGAGGTGGAGGACTAGACTATCGCTCACAAGGCTCTGGATCATTCCCTAGTGCTATGAGAAAACAAAGGATGATTCCTAGATGCCACCTTACTTGAGACAGCAGTATTCACTGAGATAAGGAAGGAAACTGAAAGAAAGCAGGAGGACTAGGTGTGTGTAATATGAGAAATTCTCTTTATACATACTAAATTGAAAGGCCTCTCAGGCTAGTTGGACACATGGAATAAAGAGATAGATATATGCTTGAGAACCTAAAGAGAAGTAAAGCTAGGGATCAAAATTCGGAAGTCATCAACTTATGGATGTTGTTTATAGTCATGAACTAAAGGCTCGGGAGAAATCACCTTGGGAGAAAGTATGTCTAGAAAAAGAACACAGCCAAGACCTGGGCCTGTGGCACTTTAGCATTCAGTGATTGAGGAACCTAAGTGACCATGAGGTAGAACTACAGGAGAATTCAATAAGCTGTAAGTCTAATGAAGAAGACAGAGATTAAGGAGGGGACCAACTCTGACAAGGTCAGGAAAGCTGAGAACTGAGCACTGTGCAGACACCAAATTCCACAAGACAGTCCCACAACAAGCAGGGGAGAGGGGGGACACCCATCTCAAGAAGGGAGAGGGAGGAAAAACAGGAGAGGTGAAACTAGAGACCCAGAGCCAAGTCTTTCAAAGTGTTTTGTTTTGTTAAACAAAAAGGAGAAAAAAGGAGGTTTGAGTTGGGAGTATTGGTTGAAGACGATTTTTAACAGTAGACATTTCTTAATGAATGAATCAAAAAAAAAAAAAACAAAAAAAAAAAAAAACGAAGGACTGGAGAGATGGCTCAGTGGTTAAGAGCACTGACTGCTTTTGCAGAGGACCGGGATTCAATTCCCAGCACCCACATGGCGGCTACCAACCAGCCTTAACTCCAGTTGCAGGGGAATCCGAAGCCCTCTTCTGAACTCCGAGGCATTGCACGACACGGGTGCACTCACATACATGCAGGCAATACACTCATACACATAAAATAAGAATAATAAATTTTTTTTAAAAATGAGGAGCAAACATCAGATATGATTCAATAATATGTGTGGTTTGTAAAACTGACCTTGTCTCTGATGCAATTATTCCTGTTTATCTATTTTCTGATATAAATGATATAAAACAGAGTTAACTTCAGTTATGCCCAACACACTGCTTAAAGTGTGAATAGGTAACTTAGGCACCTATTTTTATTTTTTTGTCTTTTTGAGACAGGGTCTCCCTGTAGTCCCAGCTGTCCTGGAACTCACTATTTAGACCAGGCTGGCCTGAACTCACACAGATCCTCCTACCTCTGCCTCTCCGAGTTCTGGGATTAAAGGCGTGCACCATCACGCCCGGCAGGAACCTATTTTTAAAAGATTTTTTTAAGAAAAGTTTACTGCCCGAGAAGACTGGAGTGGTCCCAACTACTATAATATTGAAACTAGGTCAAATTACTTTCACCCAAATTAGCTCTGGAAAAGCAGCAAAATAAGAGAAAACCCAAAACTTGCTGCATTGATGCTGCAAGGCTGGCACAGAGCTTTTAAGTCTTTTAGACTCTGGGCCAATTGCTTTCTGTACTGAGGTGTCTTTCAAAATGTTTCAAGCACTCTGGAGGCCAAGGCAGGATTGTGAGTTTGAGGCTAGCCTGGACTACAAAGAAAGCTGGAGGACAGCCTGGATTACATGGCAAAACCCTGGTGTTTTTTTTTGGGGGGGGGTGTTGGATGGTAAAATTTCCTAGTCAAAATGAAACCCAAGAATGGCAGGTAGATGTGGGCGGGGACAGAGAGGGGGATTCCCTTTCAGAATGAGGCAACTCAGGAGCTGCGCTCCCACCCCTACACCCGCCCGACTCTGCAGCATGGAACTTACCTGGAAAGCGGGTGCACCGGGCCCGGGCTCCTTAGTCTTCCTCTCCGACCCAGCAAGCCCTATCCGGCGCCTGGACGTAGGTCAGGACTAGGCCACCGCAGCCCCTGTCCCAAAGCCACTGCCGCAGGCTGCATGCGGCGCCCTCTGCCCTGCGGGTGGAGGTCAGCGGCTGGCCGCCTGCTCCCCACGCCCAGAGAAGGGCCCTGCCATCTCACCTTTGGTCCAGGCCAGGGGACCCCAGCAGGCTCGGCTGGAGGGCGCAGGAAGGAGGCAGACAGGCCACTGCCTGTCGGGTTAACATCAGGGGCACTGTCCTTAGAAGGAAGCAGCTGGCCAAGGGCGGAGGAGGGGAAATGCTCTGGGGAACTGACACCCTGCAAATGTGCTCGCTTCTGTTTTCTTTCTTCTACAATAATCCCCAGCGAGTCCCCGACTTCAGGCAAGGGAAATCTGGAAAGGAATTCCACTAGTGTCTGTACCTTACAGACCAAATAATCTGTAGATCGAAAACAATCAAACCAAATGAACCGCCGCTGCCACCGCCACCACCACCAAACATCAAGTATAAAAAGCCTTAGAGAATCAAAATTTTTTTTACCTCAGCTTCTAATCCCAGTCATACCCCAAAAATCCGGTTCAGGATCCTCTCTCCTTTCCTTTTATTGCCAACAATTGTCATTCCCTGCCAAGGAAGGGCGCTTTACCAGTTCTGAGGAGCCCCTGGGTAGCAAACTGGGCCTGAAGGGCCACACCTGGTCTCAGAGGCATACTGAAAATAGAGCCCAGAGTTTTCGCCTCCTCTCCACCCAGCCGCAGGGTGGGCCACCGACAATGGGCCCTAGCAGACCCGCACTACCTGCAATGCTGCTGTGTGGTCGATATACTAAGTACCATGTCAACAGAATTCATTACCTTGTGACAGCTGTTTCTCCTCCAATGATAAACAATGCCTCCTTACTAAATATAACTGGTCCTTATTTCCCCTGTAATCTCTCTTTAGAAACTGACCAAGCTAACCCCTGTCTCCTTCAAACATTTCCTTGATGTTGCCAAACCCACTTTGGCTTTATGCTCTTCTTGCTTATTGAAATTCTTAGGTTTCCTCTGCCTGTACCTCTTCCCCTGGCAGTTCTTCAAATCAGTGCTTTCCAAACCTTTTCACTAAAAAACTGGGGCTGGAGAGATGGCTCAGTAGTTAAGAGCACTGACTTCCTGCAGAGGACCTGGGTTCAGTTCCCAGCACCCACATGGCAGCTAACAAGCACCTGTAACTCCAGTTCCAGGGAATCCCACGCCCTCTTCTGACCTCCATGGGCATTGCATGTCATGGGTGCACTTGCATACATGCAGGCAATACACTCATACACATAAAATATTTTAAAAACTCACTAGTGGCAGATTTAATAAACATGTACATCCCTACTCAAAACTTGATATAAGTGCGTAAATGGAGTTGGAAGTCACTAATGTCAAGGGTAACTGGCTTGAACTCCTCTACTTTCTTTTAAATTGCTCCAAATTCTACATTTATCACCATGATACACACACTTGTTAACATGAAGAAAATGTTAAATTGTTCACATAGTGTAGAGATGTGGCCCCAAGTTCTCCTCATTGGTATTTCCTTCAGTCTAATCTAAGGGCCATCCGGCCATGTAAACAAGCAAGACAAATTCAGCAACAAAGTCTAGAAGGTGAATGGAGAAGGGAGAGGAGAGAAAGTGGAGAGAGGAAAGGGGAGAGAGAAGGAAGGAGGGAGAAGGGGGGGAAGGAGGGAGGAGGGAGATAGGAGGAGGGAGGACAAATGTTACTTGAATCAGGGCAGAGACAACTTCTCCATGTAAAATATTTCTCCCATGGTTTCACATCCTTGAAGCCTGCTGCATTAAGTGCTGAGGTTTTCAAGGTCTTGATTCTCTGTCTTTTTCAGTTTATTCTACAGTTTCCCGCAGACATTTCCATAGGCTCAGCAGAGACACAAACACACACACACATCAGTAAGGATATAATGGTTTCAATGTGATAAGCTTATCCTGACGTACCTAGATTACGGCATCCAGTAACATTTCAAACTTCAGAGTCAAGTATACATGGAGCATAACAAAATTAGATTTTTTTTCCACATGAACTGGCTCAGCAAACCTACCTAAGTTACTCCATTTTGTTCAGAATCATTTCAGCAGCAACTTTGCTCCACACCAAAAAGAAAAGGGGGGCAACCTTGGGTCTTGGGAAATTGACCTAGCCATGAATCATGGAATGTGCTAATTCCAGACATTTTACAGCTAGCTAACTGCTTGTTTTCGCTTCTGTAATCCACTTGCTATTTTGGGTCACCTTTTGTAATCCACTTGTTATTTTGGGTCACCTTGACACAGAGCATAAGACCACCCTGTTACCATGTTATTGTATGACCACCCAGTAACTGATGATTCCAGCTTTCTTACTATACAAGTTGTTCACCTTGACTGTCTTATTATACTTATTATGGCTAGAATAGTTGGCTAGTTTTAAGGTCACGAAGTTGGATGCCAAGTTATGTGACTAAATCACTTGTCTGTATAATGATTGGTTGCTAATTACTAAAATTAGAGTTCTGTTATGTTATATAACCCTGATTGGTGAATGCAGATTTTGCTTATGCTATGTTTACTGTAATCCTATAAAAACTCTGATCAATCAACATTCAGGGTCACTTCCACTCCCCAGATAGACAGTCCGGCTGGTCGAAAAATAAAATTTACCTTGCTACTTTTCTTAGTGTTGGCGATTTTTTGAGAACTCCAACCTGTAACATATTTGAAGACATAAATCTGATATTTGAGTAGTGATAGATTTATGCTTTTTAAAACTAAAAGATAACAAGAAAAACTCCTAAGTGTTTGGAAATTTAAAGACACTTTAAAAATAGTTTTAATTGTGTGTGTGTGTGTGTGTGTGTGTGTGCATGTGAGTTCAGGTGCCCACAGAGGCCAGAGGAGGGTGTTGGATCCCCTTGGAGCTAGAGTTACAGGTGGTTGTAAACCATCTTGATGTAGGTGCTGGGACCCAAATTCAGGTTCTTTGGAAGAGTAATATGCTTGCTTAACCACTGAGCCATCTCTCTAGCCCTAAAGACACATTTTAAGTACTTCATATATTTAAAAGAAAACCCTCATAATAGAAATCAAAGTGTTTTGATGCTATTAAAATATTGTATATCTCTGGGCATGGTGGCGCATGCTTTTAATCCCAGCACTTGGGAGGCAGAGACAGGCAGATGTTTGTGAGTTCGAGGCCAGCCTGGTCTACATAATGAGTTCCAGGAGAGCTGGGGCTACAGGGAGACCCTGTCTCAAAAAGAGAGAGAAAAAAAACTGTATATCAAAAATTGTGGGACATGCTAAACTAATGAGAAGGAAACTTCTAATCTTCAATGTACTTACTAGAAAACAGGGGCTGAAGAGATGGCTGAGCAGTTAAGAGCACTTGCTGCTGTTGCAGAGGACCTGGGGTTCAGGTGCCAACACCCACATCAGACAGCTTACAACTGCCTGTAAGTCCACTTCCAGGGGATCTAATGCCCTCTTCTCAACTCCATGGGCACGTGCATGCATAGTGCACATACAGACAAGCAGGCATGCACACATACACATAATCTTTTTTTAAAAGCCTGAAAAGTAACTATCTAGAAACATCACACACACACACACACACACATACACACACACACACACACACACACCAGGATATGAATGTAAATAACCCACAAGATGTAAATAAAACCAGAAATTAAAGAAATTTTAAAAACGGAGAGGCTCAGTAAGAGCAAAAGATAGCTCCTTGAAAAAGACTAATAAAATTAATGAACTACTAGTGATGCTTAAGAGACAGTGAGAAGACCTAACAATATGGGATAGAAAAGGGAAACATCAGTGCAGATCACAAGACATCTAAAAATGTGTAGGATATTAAGTTCATTCCAGTAAGTTGTTTGTGCTAATTAGTTTTGTCAACTTGACGTAAACCTAGACACATATGGGAAGCTGGAATCTCAGTTGAGGAATCTCCTCCATCAGATTGACCTGTGGCTATATCTGTGAGGCATTTTCTTAATTGCTAGTTGATGTCAGAGGGGCCAGTCCACTGTGGGTCGTGCCATAGCTAACTAAGCAGGTGGGCTTGGGCTGTGTAAGAAAATAACTGAGCAAGCCAGTAAGCAGCGTTCCCCCATGGTCTCTGCTTCAGTTCCTGCCTCCAGGTTCCTGTCTTGAGCTTCTGCCCTGGCTTCCCTCCGTGATGGACTGACTGTAAGCTGAAATAAACTCTTTGCTCCCCAGGCTGGTTTTGGTCAGTGTTTTATCACAACAATGAAAAGCTAACTAGGACATTGTACAAGTGATATGTGCTGTCTCCTATAGGCCTTTAGTGCTCCTGCATGTGCAATTGGCTCTGTCAACAATGAAAGACCCTGACCATTATTTCTTCAGGGTAGGGTTTATTGTGAGCAACCTTGAGATATGATGTCAATGTTTCCCCTTGCGGCAAACAAACATACAAACAAACAAACAAAAAACAGCTTACTGCTTGCTACAAAAGTAATAGATTCTTCAGGCTCACTACAGTATAGCATCCACCTGGTCTTCATATCACTTATATAGGTCTTGTGGGCAAGAGGAATGAATGAAAAAAATAATGCTGATAAGGAGTGTTGCCCATGAGTAATAAAGCCCTTTGTCTTTGACCCAAGACTTTTGTGTCTTTTGCCAACATCCATGAAATAGGCCCACTTATTAGTGTTTAAAAGAGTAAAAGGAAATACTACACCTAACAAAAATGAATAAGTGAGACCTTTATGATGGTGGAATAAAGATATTAAACAGAAAACTGATCAAAATTGTTCAGCACTATCGCATTACCAGGGTGGGCTGATAATGAAAACCAGGAAGTATACTGTTGGAAGTCAAGCAAACTTGGAGCAAAAAGTCTACATGTTGTGATATATCAGTTTAAAAAAATCACAAACTTAAGAGGAATAAATGGGGACAGCCCAGAGCTGTGTTAGTCTGGGCTCA